GTGTGTGTGTGTGTATTGTTCATACATTTCCAAAAAGACAATGGGGTTGGATCATCACATATTTTGTTAAATTAATTCAACTTAGTAAGTCGCAGCTCTATAACAACCTTATTTCTGGCTCTACGAAACTTTGTCCAAAGTTCCGGCCTGCCAGAGTTTTTGGCTTGACGATAGAGATTGTTGCGTTTATGCATTTCAATGCAAATTTTCTTTGTGAACCAGGATATATTTTTATGTGTAATAATAAATTTGTCTGGTACACAATCAGAAATGGTAGCAAGAAAAGTATCTCCCAAATTCAGGATTATTTTTTACGGATGGAGCCTTTATTAATCTTTGTCGTGTTTTTTCTTCTCTTTGTTTTTTGCAAAAGTTGCATATTGCATTGTATGCTGAGCATCTGCCCTTCTGATACTCTGGCCACAGTATCGGCATGGTTTGGGATTTGCCTACTTGTAGTACATCGTTTCATGACATGAACATGCTTATCTGGATTTAACACTGGCTTGCATTGCCTCATGTGTCCTAGCTATGTTTCTTGCTTTGTCTATTGTTAGTTCCCAGGAAGCTATCATTTCCTTTTGAGCATCTACAGAACTTGTGCCTGTAATGAATTGCTCAATGTATCGAATTCTGAACAACTTATGTTTTGTGTGTTGTTGTTGCCTGCAGCAAAAATCCACACTTCTGTGCGTGCAATTGTAGCTTGGTGACCTAATCATCTACCTTCTCACTCAATCCTTGCTTGGGCCTTTCAAATTCAAATCATGACTGTTTGTCATACTGTAGGATTGAAATACTTCTCTAGCCTTTTGAGTATCGAACTAGGTGTCTGGTTAGCCTGCTCTACTTGCCCCCACAAATTGAAATTATAAGCCCTTCTTGGCCAGCCAAATCAGTATGTAGGTCACCCGTGATGGATTGTCCTTGCATCCATACCTTTGCGAGAGAGCCATTAAAAAGCAGTGTGCAATATTGCTTGAAATTCACCATTTCTGCCAACATACTACTTTGCTTTATAATTGATGACTGGCTTAGTAATCATATCCATTAATGATAAGTCGTGGGGGAAAATGACTGTACAAATTGAAGGATGACTGGGTAACTGTAGAATGCTAACTTTTAATATCTTATCTAAAACTCAAGATGACTGACTGTGTCATGTGTACGTGCTGTACAAATGTCTGGTTATCAAAACCTAGGTATATTTGTCTAAATAATGGGGACGCTATACACATAGCTATTTTATGTTCAGATTATATCATTACAGTTACCACGATAACTAAAGTTTGGTAATAACCGGTTCCAGAATACAAGATGGTAATAAAGCGACAGAACCTATTGTCTTTGCTAAATACTATCATAATTCCAATAAAAGATTTTTAATTTAGTTGAAATTATGAAGATGGTAATAAAAGTGATGGAGCCTTTTGATTTTGGTATGTGTGTGAATGCTAATTGGTCACTTGCATAATTGATATTTCACTATTGAAATATGAAATTTATGCTAAATACTATCATAATTCTGATAAAAAAAAATCTAATTTAGTTGTAGTAAATTGTTTGTTATCACAATGTGGTTGTAATTCCAATTGGTTTCAAACTTCTACTTATCAATTCTCAGAGAAAAGAAAAATCACACCGTGTGGAGGCTTTGCTTTTACTGTGTAGCATAAAAGTAGCATTTCTATTTATGTTTTATTTTCATCTTGTGTAGTGCTTGGTTACAAATTTCAATGCACAATAAAGTTGATTTTTACCCATAAAATGGGCACCCTCAAAAGTGTGGGTCAGGACTGAAGAGACCTGAAGTTCCAAACCCATGGTTATTACATAGGAAGTGTGCCAATTGAAAACTTTGCTTTTTCTATGTCTATATACAATTATTTTTAAATCATTTAATTATGTTGGTCAATTAAATGCATATGTAAATACCGATAATATTGACAATATTTAAAACTTTATTATAGGGATCGTTTTTTAAAATATTAAAATGTGTTTTTTTATATTTCTTTAACATTGGTTTATGAAAGCAAAAACCATCTTTACTCTATTTTGTTTGTAAATTTACTAATATTCCTGCTTTTCTTTCAGAGTTCCACTACTAATTGAGGTTTGGCACAGAGATAAGACCACCAAAGATGCATTGGTTGGGGTTGCTAAGTTGCCACTCTCAAACATTTTAAAATCAGAAAAGGCAAGGATTGTTGTAAGTATACATCCTCTGCCAATTAAAATATGAATGATTAAAATACTCTATGTACAAAACACAAATCAACAATTTATTTTTTTCCATAGAACTCATCTTCTGGGGCTGATGTTTGGAGGCAGATTTCAAGTTCAAAGCAAAATGTTGTGTCAACCAATCAACAACCGAGGAAAGTCGCTGAGCTTTATGTTGTGTTAGGATTAGAAGATTATGGTCCAATTGAAACTCAACAGATCTTCAAGCCAATAACTAAGTCAAAGGTTAGTATTATGAATCCTTAATAGTTGTGTCAAATCAAAAGTTTAAGAAGTAGTGGTATTAGTCTATGAAATTACAGCATAGGAACAGCACTTTAATGATGTATATTTATTCTACAACCTTTCAACAATACCCCTGATGTCTAATCAAATAATTATCACCTTACCTCAATACTTTATTCCAAGTGCCACCCTTTTATTGCCTCAGTAATACTCTTCAATACTGAAAAATGCAATTCCTCTGTGCCCTGGGTTCCTAAAGTTTTGGTCGCAACTCAGTTTGGGGTCACAAGCTGTACCAAGATGGTTCACTGACAGTTGCAGAATTTGCTGTGTAACCACTTTTTTTATTCTTTACAACACATTGGAAGCCAAAGCTGAATTGCAGCATTGTATAACAAGCATTCTTATCAACATTAAAATATACAGTACTATGCAATTTAAAATTACAGTAATGTACAAAAAATAAGACCATTATTATAACTACAACCATTATTAAAAAATTTACAATTAATATCACCGTTATTACCAAAATTACCATTGGAACTGTATCAGGAAAAGCGTAATTTTGCAAAGAGATTAATTAAACAAAAAATAACAGACAAGAGTTAGCAAATAAAAGAGGATCTTCGTGTAGGGATTTTGGAAAATTTTTAGAGGCTCAGATGATAAAGATAAACATTCTCTTGATATAATGCATAATAGTACCCCAATCAGGTGAAGTAATTTCAATTAAAGAAAACATTTCAATTACAATGAAAAGCTATTGGGAGATTCTTGGGAATATTAATGATAATATTGTAGAACATATATAATTTTAAAAAAACAATTAAAGAGATATGTAATCAAGATTATGATGAGAAAGATTCTCAGGCTGAAAACATATTATTAGACATTGAAATAGACAAAAATATTATAAATGAGGCACTTTCTATTGCCAAGAACATTAAAGCACCAGGAGAAGATGGAATAACCAGCAAGCTCCTGAAAAATGGAGAACCCTTAGGAAATTCACTCTTGTTTATTTAATAAATTAAGATGGATGTCATGAATTCCTACTAATTCGACGTATTTCTGAGCGGTAAAGAAATGACTATGAATCCTCTTTGACATATAAAATATAAACACTGTTCACAATGCTGTAAAACAACTCTCAAATAAACTTTTGTTCTGTATAAACTCCAACAAGAATCCGGTCTCAAATTAACACAACAACATTCACATTGGGCCCGTTCGAACGAAAAAATATCCGTGCGATTTACCAGTTAATTCACCAGTACACACTTTCTAAAACTGCTCGGACACTAGTCTAATTACCTTACCATCTGGATTATCCACGACAATTTTGACCACCAAATTGCTGGGTAGAATACCGTGTATGGAATGACCATGGAGCCGGAGGCGATGATAAATCAACCTTAAATGTTTTTCCAAATGTTTTGTCCACAGTCCAGCGCGAAATTCAATAGGTTACGGCCCAGGCGTGGTTGCAGCTCTCCTTCGCCTCCTCACACATGCACGACGAAATCTAAATTTAGTAGCATAGCTACGCGATCGACTTGTAGATTTACCATTATTCGGAGAAATACGTACAGATTTTAAAGCAGCCATTATAAGTTATTGAGCTACATTATCGTTCCACCGTGCCGCGCTGTTTGTACGTGGGCCGGTTATAGCAATAGTAGCAAGTAAACAAATGGGTTGTTAACCATGGGATAAGTTGAAATTTACTTCCGGAGTAGTTTCTTTACACGTATTTACCGTGAGCTAAAACTTGCTCGACCGGTCTACCACCTGCTGAGTGCTCAGCGCGATTACCCGGTGAAATAAACGGAATACGCTTGGCGTTTTTTGCTCAAACTGGCCCATTAACATGTGTTTCACCAAGAGTTCCAGAAAGGTAAAACTATCAGCTTATATACCGTAGCTGTACATCATAATTAACCAATAGGCTTATTGCCTTTACAGTACCCAAGATTCCAGAAGCTTCCAAATATTACTCTTAGATTCTACATGGCGTCATGTGTTCCTTTAATTACCAGTGTGGTTTACACTGTGTATTTGGTTATTAAATGTTAGTCTAGAATGTTCTATGTATTAAAAATGTTAAAATAAGGCAAGGTATGGTAATTTATTACAATGGAGAAAATCCCTGATGAAGGGCACATGGGAATTATTGTCCTAATCTTTAGAAATGGTGATTGTAAAGACATTAACAACTACAGATAGTGTCTAAGATATTTAATAAAGTAATTTGCCATGCGTATTTGTAACTGTGTAGAAGAAGAGAACATACAATCAGAAGTTCAGGGGGGGATTAAGGTCGCTACATGTGTGCGAGGATCATATTCTATTAAATGTATATTAACATGTCGCTCCAAAGAAGGAAAAACCACCCACTTGGCCTTCCTCGAATTCCAAAAGGCCTTTGATTGTGTTTGTCAAGGGGGCCTTCTCAAAGCAACAAGGGATGCTGGTATCAGAGGAAAAATTAGGAAAATTATAAATAATTTATATGATGATGTGAAAGCAAAAGTTAAAAGTTGGAAATATACTAACTGACCTGTTTCTAGTTAACAGAGGTGTTAAACAAGGCTTTGTTTTGTCTTCTGTTTTGTTCAATATTTTTATCAATGAACTAACAAAACTTCTTCATAACACTAACAGTGGATTCGTAACAGTGGACGTATTCTTAAGGCTCCACGTTGTACACAGGCATCACTTTATGGTGATATAGGATGGACACCATTCTCAACTATGTATAATATATCTAGGACAAATGTTGATATGCACACAAATCGTTGGCCAAAAATAATGTTAAATATGATGTTGAATTTGAAATGTGACTTTGAATTGTTGCGATATAGATTTTTAAGTGGTGTTAAAAGGATACTTGATCAATGTGAACAAGAAAATTTTTCGAACAAGTGCTTGAACATAATTGTAATGATCAGGTACCCTTAAACACTCACTCATTTACCATTGTTAAAAAAATAAATCTGATATATCAAGAAGAAAATGTACTTTTTGAAGGTTTGCATGGTGAAGTAATAACATACATGTTTAAGCTTGCAGTATACCACATAGGTAGTTTTGAAAAGAACTGTTGTAGTTATGGAAGTCTTGACATTTCGATTTAGTTGCTTCAATCGTTTTCAGGGGAATAATATCTGCAGAAATTCCAAACAGGGAAATACTTTCGGTTGAGATGCTGGCTGCCGGTTGGATGAATAAACTGACCAATGAGAAGACTGCTAGTGAAAGGCTAAAACCAAAGCCATTGTTCACTGAGAGAAAAGGTGGGAATGCCCAAACAAAGGCTTAGTTCCAGTTGGCGGGAAAAGGGGTTGGAACATTTTGTCTGTGTCATCTTCTGCAGTCCCACCTGAATGTGCCATGCTCCTTTATGCATTGTCACAAACCTTGACACTCTAGTTCTGTTGCCTCTGGATTTAAAGATACATTTTTACATGATTGGTGTTGTTTTCTTGGAGGTGGTTGTGACATCTGTCAGAGTAGATGGATGTTGACTATGTTATTTGTTCTGTTGTCCTTACAAACTATGTACATTGATTTTTCGGATCCAACTCTGCAACATCCGATATATGGTTGTATGTGTGAACTACATGGTGATGTTAAATCTAGACCAGCTTCTTTCAGAGACTGGCCCTGAGATTTGTTGATTGCTGAAAAATAGCCGGATAGGGAACTGGAGATGCCTAAATTCAAATGGCAGATCCTCTGGGATGACAGGAATTCTTGGTATGATCTGGACATCTTGTTTGTATAGACCAGCTAATATAGTAGCTTCTATGACATTTTGCATAACGGGGAAAAATAGGCTCCCGAACCCCAGGAAAAATCACAGAAAATCTGGTTTTATGTTTTAGTTACAGAGTATTAAGGCCCACTTGCAATTATAGCTCTAGGCCCCACAACCCTTTAATCTGACCCTATGTATGTCGTGTTGCATTGGTGAATCCAAATTTCTAAGGAGCATGGTGGGTACACCAACTTTCAGGGCAAGTCTGTGCTCGAGTCTTGAGTCAAATACTCCATAGAGAGCATCTTGCTTGTCCTTGGAGCTTTCTTGCTGTTGAGTGTGCCATTTGGTGCTCACAGAAGAAAAGTCAGTGCATAGTATTTAAAAAATAAATGAAGTGCATGGAAAAATTAAAGACATCTCGATCGTGGAAGCTGTTGGTGGGTTGCTAAGAAAAACATCTGTCTTTTTCAAGGGTGTTGATCCTTTGTGAAAAGTGGGGGGATGAATTGCAAAATAAAGGAAGTCTTTAAAGCCGTAGGCAAAAACTTGTCGGGGACCAGGGGGCCACCCAGGGCCCTCACTGGTGGCCTTAGGCGAAGCCCCCGTAAGCTCTGGCGTCTATAGCCTTTTATAAGTTGTATCTAATTAATTTTAAGGAATGTAATTTAAATTTATTTTCACACTACATTTTTAAAATGCAGTGGTGGAAATGGTACTCTCAGACTGTACTTAAATTTGAATATAATTTTCTTTTTTCTTCCCTTTTAAATTTTGAAAAAATAGGGAGGGTGGACCGGCTGAGCCCCGTTGAATCTGCCACTGAAATACTCATCATTTTTTTTTTCCAATTTATCCTGGTACTCATAATCATGTCCGCTATATTTGGTGCAGACAAACATTCATAAAAATAATTATTTTATTTACAAATGATAAAACCATGTTCCTTCATGGATAAACTTAAAACAGTCACTCCAATTCTATCTTAGCATTTACAGTACTTTTAAAATCAATCGAAAGCTTTTTCCTTTTCTCCTCTTTTTTAATTTCACTTTTGTGCAAGTAGTAGAGCGACTATACTATTGTGAGTGGAAATATTACCATCTAACTTACGATCAAACAGGACTAAGGAGATAGGAAGCATACACAACATTAGTGAGAATTTTCATTTCACAAACATAAAAAGTGATTTACTCAATTTATCAATATCATGACAGGGG